AATTAAGCATGTAAAATAAATATGAGGTTCTGAGTTATAGGTCACAGGGATAATTTCATACTCAATTTGATGAATACATGTAAATTACAGGCACGTAGCAACCGGGGGGGGGGGGGGGGGGGGAGGGGGAGCTGCCCCCCTTTTTTTCCCAACATTACCTGTACTATAAGAAAATGTCCATTGAAAAGATGGTTGCCCCCCCCCCCCCACTTTTTACCACAGTATATACATAGCAAAGTAATATGGGAAAAAAATTGGAAGTGAAAGTAATTTTGCCTTGAAAAAAAGGTGGCCACTACCCCCCCCCCCCCCATTTCATTTTTTTTTGCTTGTCATTTTTTTTAGGTAAGTAAAAAAAATTTCTCAGGCTGCCCCCCCCCCCTCTCCCACTTTCAAAAACGATGCTACGTGCCTGAATTATATAGAATTATTTTGACTTTTTCCTTGGTAAGCCGGATTGGATTGTGTATTTAGAGGCAAACACCTTAGTGCGGGTATTACTGTCTCATGACAGCATCTAGTTTGTTTTTGAGTTTACTATCGACTTGAGAAGAAATTGGAGTTGATAAGAGCTGTTGCTCATCATCTGAATCACTCTCCTCACTGGATGAGCTGTCCTCTGAGTCATTATCCGACTTATCTCGATCTGAACTAGAGTCTAACATGCTACCTGAAGAGGACCGTCTTCTACGTTTCCTTCCTCTCGAGCTTCTTTGGCGTTCACGTCCTCTTTCCTCCCCAGATTGACCACCAGCCGACTGTTCGCGGATTGCCTTTAGGACTTGCTCCGTTACAGCTGCTACTAGCTGCGGCTGTAAGGTATCTGAAGCGTCCTGCTGAGCCGCCTGTTCAGCTTCTAAAGCGTCCTGCTGAGCTGCCTGATCAGCTGAACCTGCCGCGGCTGGTACTTGTCTTCTTAGCCTTCTGGCCCTGGCTGGTCGCCTCGCTCCAGCTGGTTCATTCATCTACAATATTTCTTAAGAAGATATGAATCTAATCAATAAGAATATTTCAGAGCTCTTAACCTGACCATTGAAAGCAACAATTTAAACTTTGATTCTTCAGTTAAAAAATACACTCTTTAAAATTTAAATAATTGGATAAACTTGAATAAAATTCATATATACCAATCAATGCTTGTAGTACAATTCTGCTAATTAGCAGCATCAGAACATATTACAGTGGACTGTATTATAACTGCATCCATTATTATTTAATTTCTATTTATATATTACATTATGCTTTATAACTGTGAAGTAATTATATTTACAAATTTCCAAATATATATGCATTATGCATAAAGTCCGTAGATAAGGAATCTTTAGAAACCTCAACAATATAAGAATGTATGTATCTTATTCATTTTGTGCAATACATTCAGAAAGTAGACCTCAACCATATTTGGTGAAAATTCTAACAAAACAAATAACCCCAACCATATAGGGGTGCAGCAACTTACCAACCATAAACCCCCACCATAGGGGTGTAAAATATGTAAATTCAACCCCGACCATATAGGGGTGCAATATCCTGCTTAAATAATACCCCGAGCATATAGGGGTACAGGATATTGCTTAAGTAACTTCAATCATATATAGATGCAAAATCCTGCTAAGATCAAACCCCGACCATATAGGGGAGCAGGATATTGCCTAATAAACCCCGACCATATAGGGGTACAGGATCCTGCTTGAATACAACCCCGACCATATAGGGGTGCAGGATATTGCATGAATAAACCCCGACCATATAGGGGTGCAAAAAACCTGCTGTATTCTAAGTAACCCCGACCATACAGGGGTGCAAGATCCTGCTAAAAGTCAACCCCGACCATATAGGGGTGTAAAATCCTGGAAATTAAATCATGTTTAGTTTATGTAAGTTGCTTATCAATAATACACCATATTGGCAAATTCGAATAAAACAACCCCAATCCACAGGGTTGCCATATATTAAGATTGAAATGAGTTTATTTTTATATAGCATAATAATATACTAAAGACTGCATCAATCGCCAATGAGCAATTAAGTCAAAAGAACGTAGTAGAATGTATTATAATTAGACTAAATATAAATGTTGTACAGATAAATACCCACCATTATTGATAGACTTTATCATTGAAACAATTACAGCCCTCACATTATTATAATATTCCACCAAACTTTGTTTCATATGGGAAAATATAAAAAAGACTGTTTTATGCCATCTCTAAACTAATGTTTGTGTTGACGATATAATAGGAAGAAAACAAAAAAATATTGTGTCCTGGAATGTAAAAAAAAGTCTTTAAGTCGGGCCAATTTTTAGTCAGCTGGGGGAGGACAACCAAACATTTTTTTTTAAAGTACGCCTCATTTGGTGGTATTTTCAAGGTTATTAAGAAAAAGAGGCTAAGAGTTATTTTGCAGGCCACTAAAAGGTGAAGATAAAGATCAGTGATCCCACGAATGTTTTAAAAATTTGTGAAGTTTCATTGGCCAAAATGGAGAAAGCATATCCTGATGAATACAAGCGCACGAGAAAAACATTTCTAAAGATAGACTGCACAATGTATTCTTTATGGTTCTCAAATTCTTTCAGATACAGAAACTGGAAATGTATTTTTCCCATTCAAAACTTTATTTACTGAACTATATCATATCAAAGGCTACAGCCCAGGTGTAGAAGGGGTCAGTAATGTCTTTGAAATATATGGAGATTACGAACAATATTCAAGCTCATAAGTCCATTTAATAATACAAAAAATTGTAGCAGAGCAAATAAGAACCTCAAAACATCAGTGGTGGGATCAGGTGCCATGGAGGAGTGAGCGTCCCCTGTCGACCGGTGTCGCATAATATTTGGTCCGCCTCGTTTAAAGGTCCGGCCGGACCAAATACGATAACATATATTAGGTCCGCCTGGCTCTATAAGAAAAGGTCCGCCCTCGGCCTATTATACAAATTGTATGCCTGTGTTCATTCGATATTAATTGAAAAACTACTTTTTTAAAATTAATTGAGGATATAAAGTCGTATTAATAGCTAGTGTTTCCTCCAAGAGAATGTAGTAAACAATAAGTAAAAATTAATACATAAATAATATATTTATTAAAGAAATGTATAGATTTATTGATCGAGTTTCCTGTCGGGAAGATGGGACATGCTTATTTTGTTGTTTAAATACACTGGTATCAACATTATCATTTAAAATAGTATTAAGAATACAAATGTACATATATTTACCTTCACCGCCTGTTTACTGGCAGATTAATCAGTATGCAATGAACAGATGAATGTTCGTAAGTCCAACACAAATCATTTAGTTACACTCTCTTTCCAATAAGTACATGATAAACGTCCGACTTCCGCTCGCAAAAAAATTCACATCATTCAAAATATATTTCTTCAGGGGCGTAGCCAGGGTACTTTTGATGTGGACGCCTGAATAGGCCGGGTCTTGGAAGCTGGTGAATTTTCAACGATTTCGATGTGCATATTTGACCCTTCTGATAGCATTTTTCTGACACTTTTTCTGTTTGTTACGCAGCCACATTTGAGGTCTGTTCTTTCCTTGCATAAAATGTGGACAAATACTCAAAAATGAGAAAGGATATGTCCAATAGCGTTGTTTACGAACCCATTAAAACAATTTTAGAAGCTCAACAAAATACATATAGTAAAACATGGTAGTTGGTTAGAGTGGTTGACTGGTTTCGACAGACCACGTAAATGAATGATACGCTTAAATTAATGTTGAAAATACACCTCTAAAGATTGAAAATAACAAAGAAGAATTCTTTTCAGCTCATTTTTTTTTTGCACATTACCTCATACATTGTAAAAATTTTAAAATACACACTGTAAATGTTTATAGGTATTCACAAATCTGGTATCTTTTACAACAATTATAAAAAAGTAAAATATACGATTGGTTTAAATTGATTTTGGATGTTCATGAAGCTGAATTGTGATTTTAAAACTAATTTATTGTGTAATCTGCAGCAGAGAAAATCTTTAAGAATGTATTTACACTTGGAAAAAAACTCAGCAATTTTCGATAGTAAACCAAAATCCGGAAAAATCTTAAATTTGATTTCAGTGAGGTGTATACTATCTTATTTTTTATCGTTAATTCTAAATGTTTCTAAGTATTTTTTTTTTATTTTTAAATATATCTATAATATTTGGCAAAAATTTTGAGTACGCTTTACAATATTACGCCTGTCTCGCTATTCTCTCCCCCTCTCTCTTTCTTTTCCTCTTTTTTAAAATTTTTTTTTTTATTTTTTTGAAAAATGATGTGGACGTTTGTGCGTACAAACGTACGCCTGGCTACGCGCCTGATTCTTTATAGTATTAATAAAAAAATCTGTCATTCTTTACGTTTAATATTGTTGTCAATAAGTGGGGGGTCACTGTGACAGGGGCTTATGTCACGGTGTACTACCCTACAACCGTTATTGTAAAAACAACATGCCTGCGGATTGGGCAGTTAGGGGTTAGTCTATAATTGTCTCATTTGAGAAAACCTAAAGTACCATATCCCCTGTGTTTTTATAAGTGAACACTGTTTCTAACCTATTCAAAGGCTAATAATTATATCTACTAGATTTCTGCATTTCATTTCCTGAATTTTGCATTGCATTTTCCGACAATTTCTGTTATTATTTCGGAATCCGACATTTTTATTTTCATTTCCGACACTATTATTATTTTTTTTTCACATTTTTGGATTTTTTAAAAGATACCTTTATGGCACTGTAAGGTTAATATATATAACAAAGATGGAAATAGATTTTTAACAGGGTATTGTATATATGTATAAATATTATTTATGACGGAAGTATGATTTTTTTTCATTGCCGAAAAAATACTGACATGAATTTGACAAATGTCGGAGATGAAAACTTTTAAAATGTAAAGACTGTCGGATATGAAAAGTTAATTTTTTTTTTTTTTTTGGAAACTTCCGGAAATGAAATGTGGTCCACTAAATATTACTCCAGGACAAGCTAAATGTGCATTAATACTTGGCGAAATCAAACTAAAGTCGATAGATTGCTGGATTTATAAATGCCTTTATTATTCATATTTAATATACATGTCGCTCATATAAAATCTCTGTGCATTAATGATATATTTATACTTATGTCTCTTGGTTTCAATAAAAATCCGAACATTTTATACGCCCCTCCTAAATGTTTTTTTTTTTTTGCGGGGGGGGGGGGGGGAGGGGGCGTAGTAAAATCACGCGGATACGTGTCAAAAAATTAAAAATATTAAAGAATACCGGTATTGTACATATACTGCTTCAGTACAGATTTTTTCTCCCTTTCCACTGCTTTACGAGCTATAGGGAGAATTTTTTCAACCAATACATATTAAAGAGAAACTTAAAACGCATACAATTTTTTTTATAAATTAAATAGAAATAGTCTTTTAATATCATGACGTATCAAAAACTTCGTTGTAGCTACTTGGTTAACGTTAGATTTTTCTATGACTGATTTCTTTCTATCATCGGCCACAGCAGCGGCCGATCTATTTGTGATTGTGTTAGGAGGCGCACGTATGGGGAAATGAGATGTTCTTTTTTTGTATTAGTTCAGTAAAATAAATTTTAAATGATAACGTGTAAAATCATGAGTAAAATATTTTTAAAAACTGTTTAAACTAAGTATTAATTGTTGTTAATTATGTTTCAACTTCATAGTCATTTCTCGTCGGATAATTAACAATTTATGGTTATACAAAAAAGAGTTTACAATAGGTACTCCCTGACTTGGGAGTGTGTAAGATATGGAAGAAAATCGTCATGATTTTCCGGATAATAATGACATTGTAAAAGTGCATGAATAAGAATTGAAAAGTTGTTCAACTTGTAAAAAATTGTTTTGAATATGTTAGAGCTGCGAGTGACATAAGGATAATATCTCTTCATTTTGCACCGTGCCTTGCAGCATAGCCTATCCTGTGACAAAGATCCAGGTGGTTCATCTTGAGAGGCCTACATCTTCATTTTGATGACAATAAATTCTTATCATTTCTCATTGAAATTATTACATCGATAAATCCATTTTATGAGCAAATGTACTAAAATTTCTATTTATCTATTTTTTAAAACTATTTATTTTGTTTTGAAGGCAGTCTGAAATAAAAATGATCACTATTTCAGCTTTGAATATCGTGTGCTTTCCTAGCATAGATGCTTTTTTAATTGTGAAATTACTTTTTGAGATACAGAATTTTGTTCGCGGCCGATTTGATGCTTTGCATCAATTTAACTTGTGTGTGTTTGTAAATAGTTTATTTTGTTGCGTTCAGAGAGATATTCAAGAACGTTTGCAGATATACAATACAGAAGACATATCCCCTGCAATTGTACATACACTGGATCGTTAACCGAAATCATTATAGTTTTGACTTCTTGTCAATTTAATTTTAAAAAAAAAAAAAAAAAAACAAAAAAAAAAAACAAAAACAAACTACTAGTGTATGTCACGAACCAGAAAAATTTAAAGGAACTCACAGTATCATAGAACAATGAATTACATGTATATATAATAATAGGCGCGATTTAAGAAATTTACTCTCTCAATGTACATAGACGTCGAAACCGGTGGTGGGGGCACTTTTTTGCAAAGATAATCATATTAATTTACCCCACCTCTGATGATTTTTCTACGAAATCCTGGCTTACGATTGGTTGAAGACTGTCACGTGAAGGCGGTGGATTACTTATACACGGTCAGTTGTAAATCCATACACGGTCAGTTGTAAATCTATACACGGTCGATGTATTACGTCACAAACACATACGTGACGTCATAATAGGCACAGTACAAGCGCGATGAAGCATTTAGCAGAGAAAACCATTTATAAACTACAGATAAAACGTAAATGTTTCATCGGTGGGGTAAATTCGTTACATAGTCTTTTAGTGACAGGGTATGGGATGATACCTGGTTAGTAAATTTCATACCTGACTCGGCTCCGCCTCGCCAGGTATGAAATTTACTAACCAGGTATCATCCCATACCCCGTCACTAAAAGACTATGTAACTAATAATATGCAGTGAAAATTGGCACACAAGTTTAACCTCACTTTCAACGGGCACGTTGCAGTGTAGTCAAAGAAGGGT